CCGAGATGATGATACAGATTTTTGAGGATATGTTACGTGCTTGTGTGTTGGACTTCAAGGGAAGTTGGAATGATCATTTGTCGTTGGTGGAATTTACATATAACAATAGTTTTCAATTTAGCATTAGCATGACACCTTATGAGGCATTGTATGGAAAACCATGTAGGTCCCCGACTTGTTGGTTGGAAGCTGGAGAGAGTAGCTTATTTGAACTAGAAATTATTCAAGAGACTACAGAGAAAATTTAACTCATCTGGGAGAGACTACACACGGTACAAAGTAGACATAAAAACAATGCCGATAGAAGATGAAGACTATTGGAATTTCAAGAGGGGGACTATATGTTCCTCAAGGTGTTGCCCAAAAAGGTAGTGTTTAGATTTGACAAGAAGGAAAATTAACTCCAAGGTACATCGGACTATTTGAAATGATCAAAGCGGTGGGTAAAGTGGTGTATCAATTTTGGTTATCAGCTCAATTGTCAGGGGTACATGACGTGTTTCATGTGTAAATGTTGAGAAAGTGGCAATCGGATACAACGCATGTTGTGGATTTGGAGGATATTGAAATTCAAGATGGAACAACATATGAAGAACAACCGGTGGAGATTCTCGATACCAAGGAGAAGGTGCTTCGCAATAAAGTCATCCAACTAGTGAAAGTCTTGTGACAATATCATCGGGTGGAGGAAGCTACTTGGGAACCGGAGCTGGAGGTGCGAGAGAAATACCCTCATTTGCTTTCTACTTAAGGTAAGTTTCAAAGACGAATTTTTTTTAAGAGGGGTGGATTGTAAACCCCCACATTCTTATCTTTATATAGTTAGATGCTAATATATGTGACGATGTATGCATGAAGTATGTAGATTGTAAGAGTCCGGAGTTCAAACATATTTTAGATAAAATTTGGGTAGAAAGAATTTTGGACACTGTGTAGTATTTGAACCATAAATTTTTACCCTAATGTCTGTTTGAGGTAAAATTTTTACAGTAGATAGTAGACTTCTAAGACTACAAAAGTTTATTTCACGAATATTTTCCAAATCGACCTATAAATAGGCCAAAATTTCACTAGAAGTTTCAACAAAAACAAGAAGTATGTTCAAACGTGAAAGTATGTTCGAACGACCTACGTTCGAATGTGAAAATCCGTTCGAACGACAATACATTCCAATACTTTTGTCTGATGGGAAAAACAAAAGTACTGGGAGCAAATGACGAAATAAAAATGTTAGTTGAGGTAATAGGGTATGAATTGGAAGTTAGGAAGTATTCTGGAATTCAAACACATTTTAGATAAAATTTGGGTAGAAAGGATTTTGGACACTGCCTAGTATTTGGACCATAAATGTTTACCACTAATGTCCATGTGAGCTGAACTTTTTACAGTAGATAGCAGACTTTCCAGGGCTACAAAAGTCTATTTCACGAAAATTTTTCAAATTGACTTCTAAATAGGTCAAAACTTCACTGGAAGTTTCAGCAAAAATAGGAAGTACGCTCGAACGTGAAAGTATATTCGAACGACCTACGTTCGAACGTGAAAATCCGTTCGAACAATAGTGCATTCCAATATTTTGTCTAATGGGAAAAACAAAAGTATTAGGAGCAAATGATGTTCGAACACGAAATCTGGGTTTCAAAATTGCGCATAGGAGACCATTTCTTCCACTATAAATACTTAAGGACACCTTCATTAGTCACATGTCAACATTTATAACCCTAAAGAGGCTTAGAGAGGAAGAAATAAGGAGAAAAACACAAGATCAAGAAGGATTTGCACATTGAAGATGATCACAACTTCTAGTTTTTCAAGAACACCAAGGAAGAAGAAAAGTTGGGGTTTCTTTCCACCCTTGTCCATTAAGGCTAGGGTTTATATCTATGTATGCTTTGCTTCAAAATCTTAGATATATGTTATGATATCCTTATTTCTTGATGTCCTTGCAAACCTTCTCATGTTTTGAGTGAAGTTATGGGTTGAAAGCCATAAAAATCTTTGTTTGACATCAAAACCTAGTTTTTCAAAATAAATTGATTTTTCTCTTGATTTTTCCTTTTTTCTTGATTTAAAAACTCTAGTTCTTGGTATTGAACAATAAAATGGTATTTTTGATGATCTCTTATATATTTTCTTAAATTATTCTATTGGAATAATACATGTGAAATTTTAAAATTTTTGGAATTTGTTTGTGATTTGAGGAAATGGGTTTGTGTTGTATCTCTAGTGGATGTTTGGATAACCATGAGTGGTCATTGACTGGGTATCATAGAGTGGGTAGATGCGTTTCTTACTCCGTGAGGGTTTAAATTTTTTCTTCCACTCGTAGTGGGTTTGATGTCTTGCAATGACTAAACTACTATTCACTCACGAGTATCGAGGCTGAGGGTTAATAGACTATTCCTGGATTGGATTCGTCACTGCCAATGCGTTGGTATACGCCATTCTTAAAGTTGGATATCCTTGTGAGGATTAGGTGTGTGTGTGTGTGTGGGGGTCAGAATATTCTCGATGTGTTTATTCATTCGATGTCATACAACATACCTGAGACACAAGTTGTAATTGATATACATTGTGGGCTATTGATTATTATGCAATGGTTGGTTATGGTTTATTGTGAAAAGAGTTTATGGTGGAATTGGTTTGTTGTGAAATTGGTTATTGTGAAAATGGTAACTTGTTGAAAATTTTTATTTTTTGAAATTTATTATACTTGTTCATTTAATTATTGTTATTGTGTAAACTTGAGATCCATTGAAATGTCTTTCTTTCCCTTCAAAAGCTATATATGATATTTATAAAATAAGACCGACCGTTATACATGCTTTTGAAACCTTGTTCGAATTTGAGAGAATTTTCTTACAGAACTTAGTTCTCACCCCTAACAAATAATATCTTTTTCAGATTATGGTTTAGAGGAGGAGTTCGGAGTTAATGAGTCGATACATTGGAAAAGCTCCAATAGCTGAAAACGTGGATCCCGAGTTGAACGTTTAGAATTATATTCTCTTATGTTCTAGACTAGAAAATTTACTTTGAGATAATGTAAAGTCTAATATTTTTGTGATTACACTGCAAGATAATAATTAATTTTTAGGATGTAATTGTCATAATTGAGCATATTCTTTTAGATGATGTTGTATATATTGTGGATGATGAATAAAATTTTCTTTAGTCATGAAGTTTATTTAGTTGCTCTTATAATGTGAATGATTTTTAAATAGTAATGTCGTCCAAGGAAGATTTTAAGGCGTTACAACGACGGTGGTGGGTTGCAGTAGTGGGTTGTGATAATGAAGGTGGTGGGCGATGACAAGTGCTCTGGACGACAGTATGATGGTTTGTGATAAATAGCAATGATGGTGGTGATGATAATAGGTGTGATAGGGGTATGTGACAATAAGTGGCGATAAGTTTAATGAAGGTGAATGACAACTAGTGACTAGTAGTGATGGCAGGTAATGTTGGTGGTGGTAAGTTTGATGGCGACGATGGTGGACAATGATAGTTAGTGGTGGGTTGTGATAATAGATGACAATAAGGGGTAGTAGCAACAATGGTATTGATGGGTGTTGACAGTAATAATGATAATAAATATAAGAATGAGATAAAAATTGTGATGGGTGGTGAAATTTTTTAACTCAAGTCCAACCCAAATATTAAAACTCTTGCTCAATCCCTAATTTTTTCAAGTTCGACTCGAGTTAAAATCGAGTTGTCCAACCCAAGTTGCACTCCTAATTAACTCACTCAGACTCAATCACCCAATCTTTGTCTCTTCTTATTAATTGCATTATTAATTACTCTGTGTTATATATTCGACTTTTAATTGTACAAAAATTTACTTTTGTGTATCATCACATGATTTAATCATATATTTTAGTATTGCGAAATTAGAGTATAATGATACAAACCTCCCCACACTAGGTTAGATTCCAAACTTGTGCCCTAAATTCCATGTAGATTCCTTTCACTTTTACCACTCTCAATTCTCAACAAAATACCTTAATGTGAAAAATTACTCACAAGAATCAAAATTTTATTTAAGTACATAATTTCGATGAACTTGAAAACAAAAACGTTTTAATACTGCTTTGAAAACATTTTATAAACAAGATGAAAAAAAATTAAAAATTTATTTTCAAAACATTTTAAAATATAGGTCAACACACATCGATAAACTTCGAAACATAAAAATTTTAATATTCAATCAATAATTCATTTTAGTTTCCACGAAAACAAAATGTTTCAAACGATTGGAAATGATATTTAATTCCTTGCCCTCACATTTTCCCCATATTCGACTCAACCTTGAATTACCAAACTAAAATTTTTGGTCCCCAGATGCCTATCAATAAAAAAAACACTCATTTTCTTTTCTCGCCCTCAGATAGAGTATGGATAAAATAAGAACACGTGCACCTTGTTCTTAATTCTAACATTCTAGTATCAAAACCTGTAAGCTCTAAGAATAATACCAAGCCGCTAGCTAAAAGCCCAATTTTAGCTATTTTGGAGAGCTAACTCTTAAATATTCTCTCCAACTAACTCTATCCCACTAACTATTTTATCAAATTTATTTTTCATTCACTACTTTTGACGAGACAACTTTCGCTCGATATTTACTCTTTTGCACCAGTAGTCTTATTCTTCTTCAATTGTGCTTCATCGTCTTCATCACACAGGTTTTATGGTCTTCATCGTCTTCACCGAAGCAAAGAGCTCTCTCTCTCTCTCTGCTTAAGTCAACAAAGCCCTAGAGCCGATAAAAATCCTAGTGACTAAATCTGCAAAACTTGAGCTGATTTAACCAAACCAATGGGTTGGAATTACTCTTCTTTATCTATACTTGTGTAGTAAATGTGTATTGGTGAAATTGGGGTAAATCAACAATACCCAATTTGCTTGATGTCTTAAATATTCACCAAGGCAACAACCTCTAGAAAGAGCTATGTTTTCCTTCTTCTACATTTGGGTTTGCTTTCTAAAGAGCTTTGGCTTCATTTAAACCTGTCTTCACGCCAGACCTCAACCATCTGCAACATCTTCCTCTCATCTTTTATTTCCTCCCAAAATTTCTTAGATTCCTTCTTCAACGCTTCGTCTTCAACCATATACTTCCCAATTTCCTTTGCAAGCTCTTCGCACATTTCCTCCACCAATGGCCTTCCCTTTTTGAACAAGAATACTCATACCATGTTAAATTTATTGTTTCTTGTTAATATTTTTTAGATTGATTGCATATATTCTTTGACAATTAAAAGTTACTTATCAAGGGATATTATTTGAAGTTGTTGATGATAATGCATACGTTAAGTTGAATTACATGAATAAAATGTCACATCATTATGACCCTAACATATTAGGCTACATAACATTTTCAAATTATATTATTAAAAATTAATTAAAATAAAAAGCACTATTTAAATAAACTTTTAAAATAGACTAATTAAAATAAAAAATACAATATTTAAACATATTTTAATTAGCCATTTGAGAGAGTTTGAGTTTTAGTTGCTCTAATACAATATCCCAAAATCAACCAAACCTTTCAAATAGTACAATATTTACTTAACTACATATCAGTACCCTGTTCCCAAATTATCCATGTACTTTCTTACAATACTACATGTGAGAAGTCTTGTTCACTACAACTAGGGCCGTTACTCGAACGACCCGACTCAAATTCAAGCCGAATTTGAAAACATGTTTCTTAATCAAGCCTAAAAAATTGTGCAAATTCGACTAGTTTAAAAAATGAACCGAACATAAACAAGCCAAAAACAAGTCAAACTCAAGCCAAGCCTATCGAGTTTGAGCCGAACTTGTAAAATTTGTTTTCTAATCAAACCTAAAAACTTGTTCAAGTTCGGACGAACCGAACCGAACCCAAGCTAAACTCGAGTAACTGAGTTTGATTAACAGGCCTATTACAAACTATGTCATACATTAAAATTATAATAGAAAAATGAAAAAAACAAGTTATAAACTTTATTATACTAGAAAAGATAAACATAAAAATGGCATTGCAATAATAATAGATTCGCATATTTAACAGGAAGTCATAACCATGCCTATGAGATCACTAGCTGTAAGAGGAAAAGTAAACATAAGAAATGCATACAAAATAAAGATTTAATGGAACCAAAGATCATTCCAACCGAGCTAAAAGGGAACATCAAAACTGTGTAACCAAAAACAACACTATAAACCACAAAATGATCTCCAGTCTACTATTAGCCACACAGAATACAGACAGTTGCATTTTTCTTTTCCCTCTCTATGCTTTGATTTTCTAAGCAACCAAACAAAAATGACGAGAACCGATCAGCATAGAAACCAAATTCAGATAAATTTCCTTGGCACAAAACAAAAAAAAAACCATTGAAATTTTAAAGCTTTGTTGCTAATGGACCTAAGAAATTAGTTTAAGTAAGCAAAATTGAAAATTTTCAAACTAACCAAATAAAACTAAATTGCCAAACAAAACAAAGTCTCCAGATAAAACTATCAAGTCACAAACATTGCCAAAAAGGCATAAAACATCTTTCGGACTTCAAAAATGGAGCTCCATTAAAGAATCGAGAAAAGATAAATGATGGAGGGTGAGAAAAGGGGGGAGATTTAAGTGTAGGGCAATCCACACGCTTTGGCCACAAATCAGAGCAGCAAAGCGGTCATGGAGTCCCAAGTAATTGTTGATTTGCGCCTATCGCACTAACGTGCGCCACGATTAGTAACCTCTCCCGTGGAATACCACGCCACCCCTTCTTTTACGAGGTAAGCGCTCGGCCTAAGGCGCTTTTTTTTACCGATCTATTCGCTCTCCTCACTACATATTCAATCCTGAGTAAGAAACCCCAAAACATCTTTCTTGATTCTACCACTCTTATAGACAGGAAGTTGCTAGAGAGAAGGGAATAACTTGGAAGAAGGATAAAATACAGACCTAAAAGATCAGAATCGAAAGAAGATGATGAAGAACTGCCTTACTTATTTAGATCCATCTCATTTTTCTTCTGTACTACTAGACGAAACGAAACGAAACGGCCGAAAATTTCCCCGGAAACAAACAGTAGTTCAGAGGAAAACGAAGAAAACAGAAACGAAAAAAGATAATGCAAAGCAGAGAAAGAAGGATCTGTGAGAGGAGACAATGAACGTAGGTGAGAGACCGGAGATTGATCTGTAATTATCACCCAGGTTTGTGCCGGTACCATCGCAGGTGCTGGCCGTTCACGTGGGAGGGGGAGAGAGAGAGAGTTGGGGGGCGGCGAGGGATAAGGTGACGACAGTGTATTTATAGAAGCGCATGAGTAGAGGGTATTTAGGGCAACCAAAATAAAATAGGGCAATCAAAATAGAATAGAGCATCAATGTCTATGAGGTATGCCTGAGTTGAACTTTAGTCCTAAATTTTTGATTCTATCAATTTAGCCCTCGAAGTTCATGTATTGAACCAATGTGATCTCTCACATTAACTTTTGTTCAAATTAATGATGAAAAATAGTATGCTTCAGACATATTATACAACTTAAGACATTTAAAGTAACTCCAAAGGTTTCGCTAAAGAGCCTTTTTTAACTATGTTAGATAACATATTCTTAAAATTTGGCTCCAACAGGCTATCTATTTCTCATAACCCATTTTTCACTCACTTATTTTGGCGAGCCACTTTTTACTCGGTATTTCTTGCGCCAATTTCCTCCTCCCTTACTGTCTCTTTCTCTCACACAGAAGGTCTACAACACCACGAATTTCGTCTTCATCAATCACAGAAGCTTCATCGTCCACTCATCCAGGTATGGAGTTTTCTCTCTCTCTCTCTCTCTCATAGAAACTCTGTGTATTTATACCACTGAAAAATCCACCAAATATCCATTGAAATCCCACCAAAAACTCACTGAAAATCTCACCGAAAAACCCATTGAAAAACCTACAAAAAATCAATTGAAAATCCCCTAAAATCCCACCAAAAATGCATTGAAATCTCGCCGAAAAACCAAGCAAAATTTGTCTCTCGTTTCCCACTAAAAATCGATTGAACCACCAAAATATGTCTCTCAGTTCTCTCTCTCTGTCTTCGCTCTATTCCGATTTGGTGGAGAGAAAAAATTATAAGTAATGAGATTTTCTTATTATGAAAATTTTTGCTTGGGTTGTGTGGAATTTTTCTGGAATTTGTCTATGATATTTTTTATAGAATTTTTCTAGTTAGTTATGAATTTTTTCTGGAATTTTTTTGATTTTTTGGTTTAGCAATGAATGACAAAATCTAAGGAAATGGTTTGAACTAAAAACACGATCTGTAAAAATTTGTGAATTGTGGTTGAATTTTTAAATTTATGAATTTGTGAAAATTTGTGAATTTGTTAGCAGAGATGAAGGAAGAGAAAAATGTGATGAATGAGAAGAAAGTTGAAATGTTTGAAAAATGTTATCTTCAAGAACATAAACGTCTAGTGCAAGAAAAAGAGACAATACAAATGGAGCAACTAATAAAGGAAGAGTGAATAATGTCAATGAATCCGAGTGACATGCCTCCGTTGCAAGCTGCATATTTTCAGCGCTGTCAAATGAAAATCCTGGGCAAGAAGATGTAGTTATTTTTTTTTAGTAGACAAACAACTTTGAAGAAGTAGTAATGATGCTACATGTACTATAATAACATTTGTTTAAGTAGTGCCCTAGAAGTTTTCATGCATATTACACCGGTGCTCGATTAGATTAGCTTGGAGTTTGGAATGAGTTTTTTTGTCTCTAATGCAATGTTGAGTATTAATAAATTGAAACAGTTCTGAACTCCACTTAGGTACCACTGTGGTAGTGGGACTCTTATCCATTCTATCATAACTAAAGTTCAACTCATTAGCGTTTCACTCATCCTCGACAATCATGTTATACAATATTATGCATGCCTTCATAATATCATTAAGCAACTCAAGTGTCCAGAAACATGCTGGTCCACGCACTATAGCAAATCGTGCTTGGAGCACTCCAAATACTCGCTCAACATCCTTTCTTACTAACTTTTGAGATTTTGTAAAATGAATTTGCTTATTGCCTCTTGGAGATGGAATTGTTTTGACAAATGTTTCTCACTTTGGATATATACCATTAACAAGATAATATCTCATTGTATAATCACTTCAGTTGACTGAGAAATTGACCGAAAGAGCCCGACCTTCTGAAATGAGAGCAAAAATAGAAGAGTACTCTAGTACGTTGATATCACTATGGGATTCAGGTAACCCAAAAAAGGCATGTCAAATCCAAAGATCGTATGAAGCCACCGCCTCCAAAATAATTGTTAGTTCATAGACATAAGCAAAATACGTATTTTTCCATGTTGTTGTACAATTCTTTTATTTCCAATTCATACATTCAATGCTACCCCAACATCCTAAGAAATCCACGATTGATACCCATTGCTAATAATCTAGCAATGACATCATTGTTTGATGACCTAAGGTATTCATCGAAAAAATTGTTATTATTGCCCTCACAAATCTTTTCAAACTTTTTATTGCGGTGCTTTCACCAATACTGACATAATCATCAACAACTCCATAAGCAACCATCCATATAGCGGCTATCATTTTTTGAAGGGAAGACAAGTTAGTAATCTCAGTAGCATCTTTTTTTGGACAAAATATGGATCATAAGTTTCCATAATGGATAAAATACGAAGAAAAATAGTTCAATTCATTCAAAACCTCCTCCGAAATAAATTTGAGGGATAGATAGGCGATTTAGTAAAATAATCGTGAAAAAGTCTCTCATTCTCTTGAACTCAATTTTAAAAAATAATTGAATGACCTTCAATGGAACCATGATGTACTTCAGAGCTTTTCTCGGTATTGAGTTTGTTTATTTACATAGCACGAATCATTACTATCTCCATCCCTCACATTGCTCTAAGTGAAAACGCCTGATATCTTTTTAACGTCGCTCTGATACCTTCTAAATAGAAATAGGCATGCACACGACTAGAGATTTTTGTCTGAGTCATGTAGTCCCAAATGAATTGTAGTATAGCACTTGGGTTCAGCCTTCTCCTTGTCAAATTTGACTTTGATCTCTTCCCTGAATAAATGATGAACGCCATTATACAGATGATAGGACAAGGTTAAAGTAGTAATCTCGACGAAGATTAGGATGAACTTTGATG